CGAAACAAATTAAAAATAACGAAAAACATGTTTGGGTAATAAGCTTCCTATCCTATGTGTAGGAAAATGGAACTTTACTTTGAATCCATACTTTTTTATTGTTTTAATAGTGCCTCAATATGTGCCTTCGTCAAGAATTAAGCATGTTGCATCACTTAGTCATAATAAAATTCCTCAGAAGCTCAACCATGAAAACTAATGTTAATACATGGAAACATTAAACTATTTAAACAAAAATGGATGCTTTCAGACATTTGCCCAATCAGAATGTATGTTGGACCAGTTTATTCACTGCACCGGTAAGGTCTGGGTCCACCAGCCATAAAAACAATGAGAGAAGGTTGGAGATAAAACAGAAGCACTTTCAACTTTATTTTACAGAACTTTCCAAGTATTGAGTCATAATTACACAATTGGGATCCTTCCTTGGAGGATCACATGGGGCCACAAGCAGAGAGTTTTTCCAAAGCAGCTCCAGAGGCTACCTAGACTCCCATGTGGAAACCAGAATTCTCAGACCTGCTGTGTAAAGCCAGGTGTCACCTGCCTCAAATACCCTTCAAGGCCTAGGCCCCTACAATGGATGTGCTCACCGGGGGCTGTGCCTCTCTCCTGCTCTCACCCTCACCCTTGCTTTCACCCTTTCTTGCTCCACTTAATCAACCCTGATTCACTTCTTGTAGATTATTTTTGTGTGTGTGTAGTATCAGGGCCTTTAACACAGTAGAAAAAGTAGAGTCTTAGAGGTTGGAGAGATCCCCCTCACTCTGTGCCTTTGCTCAAGTTACTTCTCTGTGCCTCCCTTTGTTCATCTGCAAAATGGGGGAATCATATATAATACATTGAGCTGCTTTGGGACTTAAACAGGAAAAGGAGTAGACTCCATTTTAAACATTACTTTTTGGCTGATTTAATAGCTGCAATAAACAGCATTCATTTCCAACTTTGAATTTTGAAAAGACCTTTAATAAATAAATTTAGTATGCAGTGGGCTCTAGCTCCACAAACAATGAATACTTAATATGTGCAAAGCACCATATTGAGCACTGGGGATATAAATATGAACAGTGCAGTCCCTGTCCTCGAGGGGGTCACAGCCTGAGGATGGGTATTTATCAATTAAACTACCCACAGGACAGTAATGAGGGCTCCAAGAAATATAAGAAGGGCTATGATAAAACAAGGGGAGAGAGCAATTTTGATCAGGCCCTAGGAAGACTAAATCTTAAAGGGTAAAGAGGATTTTAATGGAAGCAGGGCCTGTCAAGCAGAGGGAAGGGCAAGACTTGGCATATTAAAGATGGTTTACCAAGACTCTTGTCTAAATGGATGAGGCAGGAGCTCAGCACTGGTGAACAGGAGGTGTGGGAGTTGATAGGTGAGGAAGGTCAGGAGAAACTGTCAGGACTAGAGAATCAAGACCTTGAATGACCTGCTAAGGAGTCTGGACTTTATTATTAGGGTCTTAGGGAGGACTTGGGCACATGAGCTCCAAATTTTGTGTTCATGTTTGTGAAAAAAGGGAATGATTGAGATCTCCTTTTCACAGATGCAGAAACTGGGGCAAAACAGAGGATATATTAAAGCAAATTCACTGAACTCTGTGTGTAAATAGTTACTACGGACAATATGGTAACTAAGGCAAGTCAAACACAAAAAGTCTTAGGGGAAAGAGAGGAGGAAACAACATAACCCAAATGAACATCCCTGCTTCCTGGATCTGATGTTCTAGGTCCCTTCATTCCTGATAGTCCTTACATGCAGGGATGGGTGGGGGGCAGTGTACCCTGAACCCCCAGCCCAGTGCTTAAGCACTTGGCCTATCTAGAGAAACAGTGTCTTCTGGAAGGGGATGATGGTTAAAGGGCAGGGCAGGAGCTCAGAGGAACAGATGGAAGATGAGTGTGTCCAGCATTGCTGGGGGAGGTGGAGAGAGGGCAAGGAAAGTAGGAGGGGAGGACAATGGGCGATGGACTGGTTTTATCTGGTGCAAAAGTGAACTTAAGCCCATAGAGGAAAGAATGCATGTAAAAATAATATATACCCCAAAAAGGATAAGGGGGAAAAACTCAAATTCAATTAGTAGGTATTTTTAGAAGATGAAACCAAGGGTGATGAAAATTCTGTGAAAGGATTTTTCGGCACTGGTTGAATTTTCTATACAGGATAAGTATTATATTTATAATCAGGGAAAAATTTTCCAAAAAACCTCTTTTAAATAGACTTTGAGGTTGAAGTCTGCTCAAGTGTCACCATACGCTACCAGGACAGCATGAACCTGGCACATATGGGAGACTCACTGACTGGCAGCTTGGAAATTCTTTATTATGATCATCATCACGCTATAATGTATTGCATCCTGGGTGGCGTATCTTTCTATACCAGCGCTGTCCAATAGAGCTTTTTGCCCTGAGGGAAATGTCCTCTATCTGTGCCACCTGGATTAGCAGCCACCAGCCACATGTGGCTGTTGAACACTTGAAATGTGGCAATGCAACCCAGGAACTGGAGTTTACATTTAATTTAATTGAAATAGACTTAAGGAGCCCTTGGTATATTCAACTCAGGTTCTTTCTCTTCACATCTCAGCCTTCTGAGCACAGTACCCTCCCCAAACCCTCCTGAGACACTTCCGCAAGGCCAACCGCTATGTCTGCCTCTAACACTCTAACTGATGTTCAGTACAGTATCTTTGGGGCGGGGGGCTGGTTGCCAGAGCAACCAGGAGGTCCTTGGTGCCAGCTCAGCTGTGACCCACACCTTCACTCTTAGACTCGCTGGGCTCTCATCAAAAATGTAAGCCATCTGCCATCTTACCTCTTTCTCTCTGCTTCTCTCTAAGGTCAGGTTAACTTGCACAGCTGCCTCTGAATATATTTAGTAACTTGTTGTGTTTCTTCCAGTAACTGATAACCTTTTCTTCTGTACAATAAATTCCTCTTCTGAATTCTCCTCCCCAGCCCCCCATCCATACTGCCCACTTAACAAGCCTCACTTGTGAACAAGAGGAAGGCTGCTTAAATGCCATTTTAAAATCTGTCCATTTGGGTTGCTTTACTTTGTTCCTTATTTTAATTTTCATTTGTACCTGCCAAGGAGAAAAATAAAATAACCCTAGCACAGTCACATTTTACACACTCCACAGAAATGGTTTTCTGTTACATGTATGTATATATAGATAAGATATTAGCAACAACAATAAGAAGTGATATTCACTGAATGCTTCAGGCACTTCTCTGTGCACATTTTTCATATTATCTCATTTAATCCTCCCAAGAACTCAATGAAACAGGTCCTGTCACCATCCCTATTTCACAGGAGGAAAATGAGGCACAGAGAGACTAAGCCATCTGCCAAAAGTCACACAAGCTCAGTGGTGAGGCCAGGTTATCTATATTATGTTTATTATCTCTCATATAATATCATTATTTTGTTTACATTATTACTCTGTATCCCTTTTTTGCTTCTCTCCTCCTGCCTTCTAAAGTCAGATGCTGTAAACTTGATTTTGATGGTTTAAAGTTTGAACTATTACAAATCGAGGTGCACTCCCTGGGACAAAGAGAAACCCTCAGAGTGCTCTAGAATTAGACCTAATATGGGTTAATGACTCCAGTCCTTCACGGCAGGACAAAGAGAAGAAAGTGGGGCCCAACTGGGGTGAGCCAAGGTCATGAAAGTGAAAACACCAGTGTTGCTCTTTGGCCAGTTCCATACCATACCTGCCCTTTGGACACCCTTGGCACGTGGGCCCAGCTAGAGCCCCGGCTCTCAGCTGCTCTGTGGACTCAGCCCTACGCCCCGCCCTCAGTCTCTCCTGGGTTACAGCTAATCATGCCAGTGAATCCAGTTTGTGACTCTGGTTTGAGAGAGACCCTCTAGGAAAGGGCCTCATGACAGTGTATAAAGAAATGAGGTGCTAGTCATTCATTCTTACACTCATTCATTCATTCACTCACAAATTTGCCACAAATATTTTCTGACATGTACTGTGTGTCAGGCTCTGGGGATATATAATGGTTAACAGAAATGGCCATAATGCCTGCCCTTTTGGAGGTAAAATCTAGTTGTAGAGATAAATAGTAATCAAATTCTCACACCATCAAATGCCATGTTGCAGCTGGGACAAGGATGATAAGGGATACGGTGCCATAAGAGATTATTATAGGAGGTTTTACCTAGAAGTCAGGGAGAGCTTCCCTGAAGAAGGAGCATAGGAGCTGAGATGTGAAGCATGAGCTGGGTAACTGAGAAGAGGGCAAGGAAGTGCATTATTCCTCACAGTGGGAACAACAGATACAAAGGCCCTGCGGGGAGAAGCATGGTGGTAGAGCAACTGAAAGAGGCAAGGGTGGCTCCAGTGGATACAAGGAGGGGATGCGTGGCTCCAGAGGGCCAGATCTGAGTTTGTGAAACCCACCGGAGCAATTCTGTTTTTTTCCTTGGTGATCATAAATAGTGATGAATGAAAAAAAGAGCTGCAGCAGCCCAGGGAGTGGGATTCGTGACGTGACATCAGAGCCCTCCCCACTCCTGCACCTGGGTGGGCGGGCAGGGGGGGTTTTCCTCAGGCTGCTGGTGGGGAAGCAGCCAGGGCTTTGCTTTGCCAGGCAAAGATGCCAGGGCCTGGCGAGGTGGTAGGCTGATAAGTCCTGGGAAGAAAAGATGAACTTCCCCACATATGAGGCAGAGGGGAGCCTCTGCCCTCTCAGGGATTACATTCTGCAGATTAAAATCCCTCAACAAAGTGTTCCGGCAGATCCTGCCGAGCTGGGGCAGAGGGTGGCATCACTGCTGATGCCAGTTTAGAGTTTAGATGGGAGTTCAGGGCCAAAGCTAACATATGCGGTGGACCCGCTGTGCACCTGGATTTTGGAGCACTGTACGTGAGTGCATGACTCAGGAACTCTACTACAAGAAGCACTGCAGGAATCTTAACCTGTGTCACCCTGCATCACAGGACATCTGTGTTGGAAATAAAAACAGACAGCAAACCTTACCTGGTCATTCAGAGGTATCCCTTTTCCCATCTTCATCCGATTTTCCTCTGGGTGATAGTCATCTGCATCGTAGAATTTCCATCCTAGCTTTAAGAACAAAGTGAAAGAGGGTATGTGGCAGGTAGTGCGGCCCACGTGACAGCCACCGTGGGGTTACTAAAACTAACGGGCAGGTACAGAAACAACCCTGCCACCCTCTTCTCCACCAGCAGCCCGGGGAAACCACCCCCCACCCCTGCCCACCCAGCTGCAGGAGTGGGGAGGGCTCTGATGTCGTGTCACGAATCCCGCTCCCTGGGCTGCTGCAGCTCTTTTTTTCATTCATCACTATTTATGATCACCAAGGAGAAAAACAAAATTGCTCCGGTGGGTTTCACAAGCTGCATGGAGGTGTCTGTGGTGAGTTTACAAACCACTCAGGCCAGAAGAAAAGGCAGGGAGGGAAAGGGAGAGAAGCAAAGAGACAACATTATGGGACTAGCAACTGCGAGGCATTAGAACAGGTTACCTGGGATGCCAGCAGGGTGCCGACGGTGGATCTGTGGAGAGGACATAGATGTTACATGACTGCCCTTTCCCAGCCTGCGCTGTGCCTCTTCCATCCGAGGAGCCCTGGGAAGCAGAGGGCTGCCCTACCGGTATTATAATCACCGACAACTTATGATACTGAAACTGAGATAGATGCTCCTGACCCTGGAGTCTAGAGCATGGCTTTAGTTTTCTCTAGGAATTTAAATGAAATAATTATCCGGTCATCACCAGTTTTTCTCCCCAAAGCAATACATAAGATCTCATTAAACTCCTGAAGTTTTTTCCTTAAGTTTTTGGTCCCTGTTTTGTAGATAATTATTTTTTTGAGAAAAAATATTGAATTATTAAAGTGATAAATTCTACTGAGGATATTGGAGGGAGAGGTCTGACAGGGAATTTAACCTCTAAGCACCCACACAAGGTTCAAGGAGCTCATAAAAGCATTAAAATATTGGGGCTTAAAAGGGGCACACTCTTCAAATAAAGGACATGGAGAATTACCAGCACTCATTATTAAGTCTGGGAGTTGAATGCTCTCTGTGCAATGCATCTGAGAATGATCTACCTGTTTGGACCCTAACAGGCTGCATGGTCACTGAAGAGGGCTTGGGTCCTAGAAACTGAGGTCTGGCCACGGTCTCCATTCTGCCACTAAATGACTGTGTCCTCCTGTGTAAGTCACCTTGTCCTCTAAATCTGTTTTCTCACCTGTAAAACAAGGGAACTGAGCTACATTTATCCATTCACCTACTCATTTCACTCAGCCAATATCTACTGAGCACCTACTAGTTCCTAGGACATAATGCTCAGCCCACTGAGACTGGCCATCTTGAGGCTTACAGGCTAGCGCCGTGGGATAGGGGTGGAGGCCTTCAGGCGATTAATTAGAAACGAAGCCCCTTCATGCTATCAGTTTCTGAAGTATTACCCAAAATGCCAATCATTGAAGTATGAACTTCAGAAGTTTTTACTGTATCCTCCTATCATTTCACCATGCCCTCTTGCCTAAGTTTTACACACACTTTTACAATTATCTACTTGTTATTTTTGTTTAATTGGTTCACTTTTTTTTGTTGTTTTTTTGTTGTTTTTTTGCGGTACGCGGGCCTCTCACTGTTGTGGCCTCTCCCGTTGCGGAGCACAGGCTCCGGACGCGCAGGGTCAGCGACCATGGCTCACGGGCCCAGCCGCTCCGCGGCATGTGGGGTCTTCCCGGACCGGGGCATGGACCCGTGTCCCCTGCATCGGCAGGCGGACTCCCAACCACTGCGCCACCAGGGAAGCCCCTAATTGGTTCACTCTTTAAAATTAAACAAATGTGTTAAACAAGGAAACTCTTTCCTTCCCTTATACAGGAAGCCACCCTCACTTGCCTTAAACAGGAGGCAACCAAAAAGATGTATACAGTGAAAACAAAACGTTGTGATGAAATTCTAGCTGGATACTATTCCTTACCAAGGGTCCTCTCTCTTTTGTTAAGAAGGTATCAGGGAAGTTTTAAAAAGACACACTTGTACCAAACTGAGACCTGCTCCCAAAAGTAACCAAAGGATTGAGAGAACTGGAACCTCTCCCATTATGTTCACTCCTTTGGAGGCTGCATAGGGTGACATGTTGTAGCCTACTGGTGACTAAACCGTCCCAGCCGAACTCCAGGGCTGGTGAAATCAGCGCTGTGTACAAACGAAATCACACTTAAGACCAAGTTAGATTAGCCAGGAATGAACATGTCAGCCACCCGTCATAATTTAAAAGAAAAGCTAACTAGATTGGGGTGTAGACAGGCAGGAAGGAGATAGAAGAAAACGGAAAAACCACTCTCTACCACTCTAACCAAACTTCCTAACCAGAGGACAGCTGGACTGTTTGAATATGGACCAGGGACCCCCAGCAGAAATACGGCAAAGTGCTCGGCTCACAGGAGACTGGTCAGGGCCGAACATTACAAACCAGTTTGGGGCCCAAATGTCTTCCAGTGGGATGGTCTACATCAGGATCGAGGAGACTTAAAAAGACAGTAGGCAGTAGGCTGGGGCACAGAATAATGAGAAAGGTATTCAAGAGGCCTGAGCTTGTTGCGACAGCAGGAAAAAGAAGGAAACACGGAAAGAAGCTGAGGGTGGCTTCACTAAGATTGTTAAAATATAAAGAAAGCTAACACTGCCACCCACTCAAATGGCTCCATTCATTCATTCATCAAGTCAATACATATTTATTAAGCACCTACTATGTGCCAGGCTTTGTTCTAGACACATATGTCAATAAACAAAAAGGAAAAAGATCCCTTACATTCAGGTAGGGGAAGGAAAGGCAATAAACATAATAAACTTATTATTTGACATTACTTTAACAGTGTTTTAAATCGGATCTTTCTGGTTTGAGACTATTGTTTTCTTAAGGTATTACCCCACTGCTCCAAATGTTATGGAGTATATTTAAAAATCCTGCAGGGCTCTAAGAGGGGCTCACAAAAGTCACCAAAGAGCTCAATGTTGCTACATCCAATGATCAATGTAATCAATTCTCAGGCATTTTATCACTCAGTCCATCGACAACAGTTGACATTGACCTAACCATTAGAGGGCCCAGGGCTCAGTCCTTGGCCAGCTTATCCACACTCACTCCCTTGGTGTTCTGAATATATATGTCTTTAAACATATCCACACACCGATGAGTTCTACATTTTCACCTAAAGTCCCTCTCTCCTGAACTCGACTTGGATATCTGATTGCCCACTTGACAGATCCACTTGGATGACCGATAGGCATGTCCAACTCACCACATCCCACACTGAGCTCCTGAAATTTTCTGAATCAGGAACTGCCCATGCGGTCCAGTGTATTTTAAAGACTCTTTCTTTCTCCAGGTAGGTAGGTTTAGCTTCCAAAAATTATTGAGGCATTTTTAGCCTCAAAGACAGGGAATCTTGCAGTATATACAGTAATGTCAAATAATAAGTTTATTATTAACTCCAAACCTGCTCTGCCTATTGCTTCCCCATCAGTCAACAGAAACTCTTTTCTTCCAGTTACCCAGGCCAAAAATCTTGAAATCATTCATGACTCTTCTCTCCTTCATATCCCACATCCAGTCCATCAACACATCTTTTTGGCTCTACTTTCAAAATATTCCAGCATATGACCACTTCTCTTCACCTGCATTGTTTTTCTGACCTCATCTCCCAATCACTCTGCCACAATGGCCTCCCTGCTAGTCCACAAGAAAGTCAAGCCTCAGGGCCTTTGCACTTGTCATTCCCTCTGCCCACATGCCCTTTCCTGGCTATCCACGGGCTTATTTCCTCTCTTCTTGTAGGTCTTTCTCCAACACCACTTCCTCAGAGGAGCCCTCCCTCATTATCCTGCCTGGCTCTTTGTTCCACTTACCTTCCTTTATTTTCCCCTAGAGCACCTACTGCTGCCTGGTGCACTGCACATGTATTTATTCCCTTACTGCCTCCCTCCCTTATTAGGATGTAAACTCTTTGAGGGCAGGGATGTATCTGTCTTGCTCACTACATGTCAGTGACGTTGAGGAAGGATTGAGCTCAATAAACATTTACTGAATGCATGAATATCATAACCATATGACATACGGTACAGTCTCCCCTCATCTGATCCAAGGCTTGGGTCGGGGGCCAGCACATGAACTGCCCAAGCTCACAATCAGACAGCAGTAGAACCAAAACCTAGGGCTCTTGACTTTCACTACATCACACCAGAGCGGCAGTTTTTCATTCTCTGAGTTCTTCAGTCATACACAGTGAGGGACTTTCTGGCTCTGTGTGTTATTTTAAATTTCAGTACAAGATTCCCTGTCTTTGAGGCTAAAAATGCCACATAATTTTTGGAAGCTAAACCTACCTACCTGGAGAAAGAAAGTCTTCAAAATACACTGGACCGCATGGGCAGTTCCTGATTCAGATCATTCTAGAAGGGACTGGATAAGCCTTTGGAGGTTGTGATATTTTAGTTGTCTTTTTTTTGCCTCTGGTGGAATGCTGCCGTAGCTGCCTTTTCTGATAATAAAGGGCATTGTCAGACTTTGGTCTAAACAGGAAGCCAAAGGCTTCCTCAGCCCCCAAGTTGGCCAGACTGGGCTGGGCAGAGGTTTTGTGGTATGCAGTGCGCCTCCCTGCTTACAAACCTTCTTAACACCGAATCCTTACAGTTGAAGGGGGAACACAGTAAATTGGAAGGTTAAATTCACGTTCCAAAATCTAATCAGAAAAGTCCAGGGCCCGGCAGGAGGGAGCTGGCGCGCTGTCCAGCTTGACAAAAGTCTGTAGGAGCCTGGGACGAGGCTTGGCCCTGCTCTGTGGGCCTTGCTCCCTTGCACGCTGGGCCCACACAAGGCCCCCAAACATGGGCACCTGTGACGGCCCGGGCCGCTCCAGGTGGCGCGGGGAAGTCGTTACTCTATTCGCGCCCCTGCAGGCGCCTCTTCACAAGGCGCTTTCGCTAAAGCCTCTGCCTAAATTTACAGACGGAGAGCCCGAGTCTGGGGTATGGCCCCGGGCCGGGTGCCCCCGAGGCGAGCAGGTTGGCAAGTGGGGAGAGGGAGCAGGTGCCCTGGGCCTCAGTTCCCTCATCAGCAAAGGGGAAGGACCCTCCCGTCGCCGCGGGCCCGGAACGCCGGCGGATCTGGCCTCCGCCGCCCCGCGCCGCCCCCCCACTGCGCCCCCAGCGCCCCCAGCGCCCCGGCCCTCCTGGACCTACTTCCCCGAGCCGCTCACGCCCATCACCAGCAGCGCGCTGGGCGCCGCCATCGCCCGGAGTCCCGTCGCTTTCTGGGGCCGGTCTGCTCCGCCTTCCCAGCCACGGGGGGCGGAGCCGCCCGCGACCCACCCCGGCCCAGGCGGAGCCCACCCCAAAGCCCCCACCAAGACCCCGCCCCAACAGTGCCCCACCCGTCATCCGGTCCCCAGCCACCCGCCACCCACGCCGACACACCTTCCCCTCCCCCTCGCGCCCCTTCCCCGACGAGACCCGTCCCACGCCGAGACTCCGCCCCCATGCGCTCCGCCCCCAGCCGCCCCGCCCCCGCAGCGCCCGGCGAGACCCGCGCACCCGGCGGCCCAGCGCTTCCCTTTTCCCCGACTCCCACCCAGTTCTTGCTGCGCCCTCTGCGCCCGTTTCCCTCGTGGGGTAAGTGGAGCCTCCCGCAGGCAGGAGGGAGCCGGCCCCGAGTCCCTGCACCTGCGGTCCTCCTCTCGTAGCCCCTCTCCGCTGCAGGGGAGCCTCGCCCTTGCAGGCCGGACCCTCTGGCTCCTCCTTCACCAATGGAAAGAGCATTTATTTGTTTTTTAAATGTTGTAAAAAGAAAAAGCAGAAAATGAATTCACACTTTACCGCACCTGCAGGCAAGAAGCGTCCGTTCCCAAAATGATCCGCCGTCCCGCATAGATAAACGGGTATGAATATTTTATGAAGTTGGGATCATGCTGTACACGGTGTTTTGTAACCTGGCATTTTGTCACAATAATACAATACAAGGCAGATTTCTTTTGGTGTCAAATATAGACAGGTCCATAGTGGCACATGTCATGGCTCTGCTATTTAATCTGGTTCCTGTTCTCAGGTAAATTACTTAAGGGGAAGAAGCACCCTTTGAAGGGCCATTTTGCTTTAAAACAATGTTAATTGTGTGCCATTTAAAATACTTGATTAAAAGTACTTCCAATGACATTCTGCCCAACCTCCTTCGTTATCCAAGATCATATTACTCTGTGTTCTTGAAAACAATAAAGCTGACATAAAAGCATTTATCTAAAGAATATTTCAATTACCCCTGCACCGACTTTTTTTTTTCCCCCGGTACGCGAGCCTCTCACTGTTGTGGCCTCTCCTGTGGCGGAGCACAGGTTCCGGACGCGCAGGCTCAGCGGCCATGGCTCAGCGGCCATGGCTCACCGGCCTAGTTGCTCCGCGGCATGTGGGATCTTCCCGGACCGGGGCACAAACCCGTGTCCCCTGCATCAGCAGGTGGACTCTCAACCACTGCACCACCAGGGAAGCCCAACTGTTTTTCTTATGTAGCTCAAGTGGGTGAAATTTCAGTGTTCCTGGATAGAGGTT